GAGAGAGAGAGAGAGAAAGGAAATATTCAAATAACGCATTTGCAACGATTTTGCAAATGTCGAAGTGAAGGAGCATCGGATATTTAACAAAAAAATTATAATCTCGTTTTTCAAAAATACTTCTCTAGATGAGCAGTGGAGAGAAGTCTCGAGCGGATTGAAACTGAGGAGGCTATGAGAATCCGATAAGGAAAAAACGGATTGACCATTAATTAGTTGCCGATCGGTTCTGATCAACCTCTGGACGAGTTCCGCGAGATTTCACGGAGTTAATTAATTCTCCTCCCCCTCCCCTCTCCCCCCTCCTCTCGTATAATTAAACTTCCGACTCGGTGCACACGTGTTCGCATCGCTTGCTATAAATAAGAAGACACTTGAATTCGAGAGCGATTTGAACATTCGGCCGGTGTGAAGAAACGTTTGGAAGACGGCTTATAAATAAATTGTCGAAAGTGGAAAATTATATTGCAACAACTATTTCCATCGGTCTCGTAGCATATCTTTACGATGTTTACGTTGTGATTTTGATTTAAAAGAAAAGAAAATAGAAAGTATTGGGTTGTACGGAAAATAATTCGTTTTTTCACGCGAGTGTCGCGAGCGTCGAACGTTTGTCCAGCCAACTTCATTCTAGAGTAGAAATTATTAAGCTGTTCGGAAAGTAATTTCGTTTTTACACGCGAGTGTCGCTCGAGTCGAACGTTTGTCCAGCCAACTTCATTCCAAATCGTGTTGTTATTATATTATGTTTCGGGACGTTTCACGGTTTATTCGTAGGAAAAATTCGTTCGATTTCGTTGCGTGTTTCTCGCGCGTGACAACAAAGATTGAAAGAAGCGTTTCTGACGTATTTTACTTTTTTCATTATCGAAAAGAGTTAGAACGGTATTCAAGTCTAGAAGTCTAGAGAGAAAGTCTATGCGAACTCTATGGAGAAGAAGGTGTATTAACAGTCAACGACGCAAGTCAAAACTGGTCTTCACAATTTCAACGTTAAGGATGCGCCACACGTTCTGGAAGATCGGTTGAAGCTGACGGCAGACAAAGATTCCTACGATTCAACAAATATCGAAGAATTATACGAAGCAGGTTCGAGGAGGTTTGTTCCATCCGTGTTGTTTATTCGTTGAGAAGGAAAAATCGCGAAAATATTTTCACGCGGGGATAAATTTCAGATTCGAAGCCCGGTAGAAAAGGAGGGAGAGGCGCAGGGGGGGAGGGGAGGGAGAGTAAAGAGGATACCGAAGCGCGCTTCGCAGGATTTGACGGAATTAATTAACCTCGTGGTATAATTAAAGTCCCGTTTCGTCGGCGGGGAAACGTTGCCACACCATGAAAGTTAAACTGACGAAGATCAAATCGTGAATCCTGGTTGCAAACTGTGCATCGTGCGCCCGGTGCAGTCGTAGAAAGGGAGGAAGGGAAACAGGTAGAGAGGATGGAAAAGAGGATAAAGCGAGAGGAAAGGGGGGGGGAGAGCTGAGAATAAAGAGGATGGATGGAAGAAAGAAGGACGGAAAAGGGAACAGTGGAGGAAACGGGGGAAGAAGGAGATTTAATGGTTAGAGAGAGAAAAGATCTTTAATTAAATTCTACCATTCTCTACCATTTTCAAACTGCTATGCGTTTTCCATCGAAACGTCGATAGAAAATCGAAGATTCGATAAAAGCTTTCCGGGAGGGGAGGGAAGAAAAAAAAAATTTTTTTTTTTTTCTCTCGATATATAATAATCGAGTAAAGCGTGTTCTTCAAATTTTTGTAATTTGCTGTATTTTCGTTACTAAAAAAAAAGAAAAAAAAATCGAATCCGTTCTGAAAATTTTCTGTAAAAGATAGTTCGATTTATTTTCGCATCGGTTACAAAATATTCTATCGCGACGGCGTTTAAATTATAACGGGATTTGCAAAGGTAAAACCATCGTGTTTGTCTTCCATAAACGGTATTCAAAACGTAAACCAGTCGGCGATAGTAGTACGAATCCCGTCATCGTTCAACGTCAAGACGGGTCTGATCCTTCAAAATCCAATAACATCAAAAATATTTAAATCCCTTTTATACGAAAAGATTTCTCCGCTAAACTTTCCCATAACGTTCTGAAGCTTCTTCCCAGTTATTATTCTCTACATACTTTGTATTTCACTCTTGCTTTCTTTCACTCCTTAATCTCGATAACTTTTATTTATAAAAAAAAAAAAAAAGAAAAGAAAGAAAGAAAGAAAATGAAATGAAAAAAATGTAAAAAAACAGATTATTTCACATTCTTCTACTTTGATGTTGTTCGATATTTCGATGATTCTGATAGTGCATCACGATTGGTTGGCCATCCAAAGGTGTGATTTACACTTACCACGATTCATAGGGTTTACGCACGTCGTGTTATACCCCACGATTCGTCGCGTATTCGGTGTCGCACCCCGGAAAGCGCGCATGCGCGATTCGTGGCGCTTTCAATTCACCAAACGACATTCGTCAGTTGCGCTCCGACACCGACGACGTAAAGGTCGTTTCTCCCGCTTTTCGATCCCTTCCCTTCGCCGGCGCGACGAGTAACCATGTGACCTTCGCTCTCATCGATATTTCGTTCGAGTATGGATGATCCGTGACGCGCGATCGAACAGGTATCCTTCGATTCGTTTCGTAAACTCGACAATGTAAAGATGGAATTCGGTTCGAGTAAAGTTTGATCGAGTTTCGAATTGTGCAGCCGAGGATCGGCCACGTGGAAATGTAACCGTCGAATGACCGAGAATTTTGTGTACGGTAAAAAGGATGCGAGTGACGTTTGCCGTTGTGGATGCGGACCACAGGACTTTTTTGAGGTTATGGTCACGTGAGTAGAAAAGCGGTAAAAGTGGTACACGGTTTTTCGCGCGTGATCACGGTCGGTACGTGATGTTATTATGTGAAACAATGCGGTGGGGTGATGGATCGTGTGATTTATTGCGATGCAAGTTGTTCGTTCTTCTGGTTCTGGTCGGTTGCAGCGATGGATACTTGAATATCTTTATCAGCCAGTCCCAGGTTATGAAACTGTTGGGTGAGTACTTTACCGATTATTTTTAATTTATGCGGTTCGTTTCTTTTACGATTATTTTGCATATAAGATATTTATTTATTACGTATTTCATCGTAGAAAATGCAAATTGTTTTGCGATATTCTTTATTCTTAGCGTGCAATAAGAAAAAATTGTAATTCGAACGATGGATACGTTTAAGAGAAATTTAATGACGCATTAAACCGTGTGGCTGTTTACATTTGTGTTTACTCAAACGATTTTGTTAAAAATAAAATACACATTCGAAATTTACGACTATCGGAATTACGACCACCTTAGGCGATTTTTTCAATCTCCCAGAACAAAAACGCGAGTTCATTTCATTTAACATTCATAAAGCCAAACGCGTTTTGCGACTAACTACGTATTTCGAAGAAGAAACACGTCGATTCATGGCGCGTAAAATATTATATAAATATTACGCTACATTTCTCGCACAGAAATATTTCATCGAGGACAAATTTCGCTACAATCGTAACGCGTTGAACGGTTCGTTGTCATCGAAAGGGAAGGAAAAAAAGAAAAAGACGGGCACGTAGAATTAAACCTTGGCATTTTATCGACCGAATGACGATACGAATTCAAAAGAACCACGAACGCTCAATTAATTTTGTCATCAATGTCGCTTCATCAAGAAAGTGATACAGGAATGGGTGTATCGTTGAACTTTTAATTAGGAACGACTAGTAACGAGTCACGACCCCGTATAATTATCGAATTAACAGTAACCCTGACAAACGATGAACGAATTTAACAGTGCGTTAATCACGTCGAATCCCTCTCTTCTTAATGGAATATAAAGCAGCGTCGCGAAAAAAATAAAAATGTTACTCGGACTCGTTTATCGTTAAGGGGAGGGGAGAATTGCGTTACAATCAAGGATAATTTTACGCGAGAGAAATAAACTCGTCGTTTTTCGTCCCCGTGAATTATCATTTCACTCTTCGTTATCGTTCTTTAAAATTCACGTTTATTATCCCATCGCGTTAATATCGCGTAACTCTCGTGAAAGTGAGAGGGTGGTGGGAGGGGAGGGGGAAAAAATATTCCCTTATACACATCACATACCCTTTAAAATGAAATAAATTTTTTTAAATCGGATCAAACGATTTGAAACTGCGAAACGATTGAAAACTCGTAGCTTTTTTTCACGACTTTTGATCTATTTAATTGTAATAAATCTTTATATCCGTAGCTTTTTCGATCGCTGAATTTTCGATGAAATTAGATCCATAAAGTGGAATAACGTTTCGAATTTTCATCGTAGACAAAAAAAAAAATTATTATTCCTTTATTCTTCTTCAATGAATAATTATAAACTTCTCAAAAAAAAATTCAAGTCGTTCGAACCCGATTTCAAAGGATGTTGTAACGAAACGTTCTTTTCCCTTTTCACTGCACATTTCGCCCCACGATCCATTCAAAGTTAAATTGTATTCGGACTAGAGAATTTATCGTTTCCTTATTTTCCACTTTGATTTACGGCATCGCTGCGGGACCAACGCACGTTCCGCCCATTTTCCTTCCAATTTAAGACCAACTCCAAACCGCGTTTCCCACGAGTTTCTTCAAAATGGAGCCGAAATCGCCTTCCACAATTCGGCGAGCCTCGTCGAATGTGTACGGAATGGCGCGCGCGCGTGTGTGTAGATTTTCGTTTTTGATGGTCAACATGGTTATAACACAACTCTGTGTACCGTGTACTTACGTTCTCTGTTCCATTCGATATCACTTTACGGTTCCATGATTCGTACATATATATATATATATATTCGCTCTATCTCTATCTATGTACACACAGCTTGGACGCGCCAGTTTTCTGGCAGGGGGAAAAAAGAGAGGGGAAAAATTGTGGAATGGCTGTGTATTTACGAGAGACTGGCGCTCGTGACTCTTGGAAAATCGAGGCAATTCCCGCCCCCATCGCTCATTTCCGCTGTCGATGACGGTCTTACGAGCGTCTCGACATCCGTCCATGCCTTTTCCACGCTTTTTAACGGCGCGATTCAAGGGATATCGGAGAAAGAGAGAGAGAGAGAGAATTTGGATGTAAATTGGAAACGAGCGCTCCGACGTGAATTCGATATATATACATATTCTCGATTGATGATCGAACGCGTTAGATGAGGTTATTAATTTTTCATATCTCGTAAATTCGTGCTTACGCAATTTTCCATCGACGAGAAATCGAAATTATTCATCCATTTTTCTTAGCTTAGATTCGAAATATTTTTACAACGAGTTTGTACACGTATCGGATATTATACGCTCGTATTTTTATCACAAAAGAGATACGGTTTTTCCGTATCGTAACGATCCGTTACGTTATCTGAAATTTGAGAAGCATGCAGTTGGTCCGTTTTTGCTTTCATTTTTTATTTACAAAAAAAAAAAAAAGAAGGAAGAAACGAATTTTTCAAAAATTCGCTCCATTAACACGTTCGTCATCTTCTTGTCTTCTTGTTCGAGGAAAATAAGATTTAAACCGTTTGCACGTATATTTAATATAAATATATGTATGATAATGAAATGTAGAATGGCGACATAATTAAAATAATTGGAATAAGCACAGAATTTAAAATATAAGAAACGTATCTTTATACAATTTTAAATCTAAAATTATACCGTATGTGGCAACATAGGAGGGTGTTGTTACGAATTTCCACCGATGACACAGAAATTGGACAGCCAACGTTAGATTAGCCAGAATACTTAAACGAGGCAAGGAACAACTAATTCAGAATCGATGTTACAAGTGGTATGTCAATGAAAACTGTACAAGCAATATTCCAACCAAATTTTAATTTCCGTTTATTCTTCAATATCCGTCTTCCTCTCCTCCTCGAAAAATTTTCCTTCTCTCTGTCTCTCTCTCTCTCTCTCTCTCTCTGGAAGAGAGGAAAAAAAAGCCTGTTACTGGAACGTCTCGAGTTCGTCGGCTAAGGTATTCAGATATCGCGAATACTTGCCTCAAACTTATCAGCCCCCTCTACCCCCTGTCACCTTGAAAAATGCTCGACAGAAGGAAGAGAGGGAGGGAGGGAATGCGTCTCGATGCGCAAGGTGAAACACGAATCGAAGGGAAGGACGGCCGTGTAACAATGGCGTTGGCTCGGTTTCTCAGAGTCGATTTCTCAGAGCCGTGCCAACTTAACGGCCGACATAATCGTTAGATCTCGAATTCCCCTCCCCTCCCCTCCTTAACGCGTCGCTGAGGACGGAAGGAGAAGAGGGGGAAAGGTTCGGGCCGAGATATCGCGGCCGAGGGACGAGTTTGGTCGTCCAGGGTGAGGGGGGAGGGGAGGAGGGCTCTCGAAAGTCACTTAACTTAGATTGCGCGAGCGAAATGACTTTAGCTCCGCCGGAAAACTTCGTTTCGTCGGCTCGAGCATTGCTTGAAAGCGGGTGAAAAAAGGAGGAGGAGGGAGGGGGGGGGGGAGAGTGCACGGTGACAGAGAGCGAAAGGTGGTGGATCCAGGAGAGGGATGGCGCGGTAGCATTGACGAATGGCGGCGGTGGTGGAGGGCAGGTGGGCGAGACAGAGGGATGATTCTCGGGTGGTAATCGCGGATTGTAAAAGTTTAAGGGATATGCGCGGTTAATTTGTAACGATTTATTCTTGGGACGGCGATTGACACGATGGAAGAGAATCGAATTTGCTATTTGAAGAAGTAATTAGATAATTCGAATAAAGTTGCTTCAAGCTAATTGTACGATTATTATATATTTTGGTGCGATACTTTATAAGCAACTTGGAAAATATTATTTCTTTTAACGGTTCGAACACACGGACGCGAACACACACTGTGGGTAAACTTTTTATAAATAAGAATTCGAGGAACTGCTGCGGTTACGAGCATATCGTTTTTATACTTGTGGCGAGGCGAGGCGTTCACACATTTATGGGCAGAAGTGTGTGGAGATAGAAGGTGCGCGAAGCAAGGCGAGCCTGTCGAAAATACGAGTACGCGATTGGCTGACGCGTCTCATCGCGCCGAGTCAGCACACATATTCCAGAGAAAGTTTCAAACATTTATACGGGGGAACGGCTCGATGGAGGACTTTTAGCGCGGTGCGTAGTTGTAGTAGAGTCGATGGGACAGAAGGACTACACGCAGCCTGTTCTGCAATTTCGAACGTTAGTTGGGGAGAATTGAAAAACTATATTTCCAACGGTGAAACGAAGTATACATCCGGAAACGTGGATGATGTTTGGATGTTTAACGTCGATCCTCGAAAATGGATAAAAAAGATTTTAAAACGATTAAAAGTTTCGACTCGAAACTACCCAGTAATAAACTTTCCACTTTAAATCGAGAAATATTTTCGATTTTCGTTGCTCGACACCACCACCGGTATGGTAAATAGGAAAGAGCTGCTATTGGAACTGCTGAAGGGGGAAACTCCCGTTTCTCGCATGCTCTGCATTTGACATCGATAGATTTCCATTTCGTTCATTATATAACGTAGATGAGAAAAGTTTGAATTATTTTTCGAAACGTGAAAACTAGTTTTTCGCCAAAAAGCTCGAACCAAGGATGAAATATCGCGAATAAACTTTTAAACCGTATATGAAATCGTGAAATTCACCAATCTCTCTCTCTCACACACACACACACACACACACACACACAGTTTCAAATAGTGACGCGAAAGGTTTAACAAACGAACCTACATAAATATTGTACCAAAACTCCTCCCTCCCCTTCCTCCCTATTTCTATACAACCTTTTTAATACACTCTCTCCCCGTTATAAATATTTCTCGGCGACTAATCGAACGGTATATACGCGCAGTTGTACGTCCACCGTGAAGATAAGCGAACCGCGAATAAAAAAAAAAAAGGAAAAAAAATCCCACCGTAGAAACCATGCGCGCAACAGTTTCGAATTTTACGTTTCGAATTCAAACAAATTTTTAATCGAATCACCGACACGGATCAAGCCACCGCGAAGAACACCGTTCGTGTAGAGAAAATATT